TTGATATAATTTTTGACCATTTCTTCGCTTCCTATTGTACTTACTTTTGTGTAGTTTCGGTGACACGTTTTCAGGACAAAATGTGGCAAGAAATTTGTCGTGCCACGCCAATTACGGTGTCCTTCAAACACGACACGTGTCAATTCGAGTTTTCTGATTTTTCACTAAATAAAAATAATGATTTAAAGTGGTCTGTATTTGGGCCGACCTACAAGTTTTTTACATAAATCTGGCTAGTCAGTAATTAAATTGAGGCCCAATATACCCTTGATGCTCAGCTTAATTTAAGGCCCATATGTTTTAATTGCATAATGTGGTGTTGAATTCAAAATTTCAATTAGAGTTTATATTTTGGAATTGACTCTGAAAAATCATTAATTGAGTTCGAAATGTGTCAATAGATTGAAATTTTTTATGGTTCTAGCTAGTGGAAGAGATGTTGGGTGGATTTTATTTGATTTAATCAGCGAATTTTGGACGTGGTCTAGAGATAACTTCCATAAAAAGATAGGAAAAACATTTAAATTAGAACGAATAATTGAACGATTAATGTAAATCTCGGACGGATATAGAAGCTTTAAGCTAGGAAATAGCCATAGATAATTATTTATTTATAGGGTAAATTACAACCACCCCTGAGGTATGGTCAAATTACGAGTATCCCCCTTGTCTGGATAATTACAACCACCCCTTCAACTCCTCAAATTTAGTGGAATCTTCGAGATTATATGGAATATTATCACTTTTGTACCCGTTTTATCCCATTCGAACTTTACATTTTGAAGCAGGATGATCATAATATGTGTTTTTTGGCTTGTATATATATCAGATTGTGGTGCATCAGAAACTCTATTTTTACATAAAACGAGTACTAACTAGAGCACATTGCACGGAATCTAGATGATTATGTTGAATTTGACACCATAAGGGTGGAGGCGTAAGAAAAAATCATAGCTAAGGAGATACATGTAATTATCCAACAAAAATGTTTTTTTTGTAAATTGACCATACCTCAGGGTGTTTGTAATTTACCCTTTATCTATATACATTAATATATCAAACACTATTAGGGTTACATTGACATACAACCAATAAACACTCAATACTTTCTTTCGATCGAATTTAATTCTCTCTTTCTATCTGGTGATTCTTCCACCGTCTTGTTCATCTCTGTTGGTCGTAAATACAGTGATAGGTGAGCTCTCCGACCTCCGAGGGTACAAATATTGTATCGTCAGTACTTATTTTACGAGTTTTCTTGTTGACTAGTGCGAAACAATTATTGAAACAGTTTAATTAAAATTATAATATTCTCAATGTCACAAAAACCTTACAAATACAAAAGTATCAAGTACATACAACCTCAATCAAAACTTATTATTATTATTATTAATCTTTCATGCATAAGTCTTCCATTATTAAAAAGCTTCTTCGTTTGGTGAAAAAATGTCGGCAGTATATACCCTACAAATGAAAGTATGCTAAGTTCTTTGAACATATATATAATTTCAAACTATATATAATTAAATCTTTACACTTAAATCATGCAAATGTACGAAATGACCCAAAACATGCATGAGTAGTATCAATTTGGTGTCCATCTAAAAGAATTATTAGTTATTAGTAATTAGAAAAACGTGAAGCATCTTCTTAAACAAGCACCAAGATAATAATTAATTATACCTACCACAATAAT